TATGCTAGTGGTCAGTAAGATAGAACTGGTTAACTGACTCCAGAACTTTTCAGATTTTTTTAGCAACTCCAGCATAGTTGTAAATTGAACAGCTTCTTGCCACAATGCCTTCAGGAAGTTTAGAAGATTCAGAAGCAAGTGGGTTTGCTGAAGATAAAACTCATCAAATCAAAATGTGTCACCCTTCATATAGAAAACAAAAGAGGCATTCCAAACAAAATCAAACTCACAAGAAAACAGAAAGTAGGGAATAGAAGTAGTGTACCTCTTGATAAGATGTTCAGATCTTCCAACATATTGCAGAATTGTATCTAACAGATTTGCTTCTTTAGAACCCAGAGACCCAATAGCACCTCCATCTGGACGCTTGGCACCATCATCCCCGCTTAATTGGACATTTACATTCTCTTTGAAACCAGTTACAGCAGCAAGAAAAGCAGGCTGCAGATAGAAATCATTTATATGAATGCAGTTAACTGTTAAAAACTTACAGATGTGAATGACCTATGCTGCGCAAAGGCAAGTTTTTTTTTTTTTTTATATAGGAAACAAAACTTTCCTTGAGTAGAGTATAGTAAAAAGTACAATGTAGTGGACAAGGAATCCATCCAAAAATGGAAAAAGTGCAAAACATGATATTTGAGATGTTCTCAAGCTAATACTGGTTTTCAAGAGCTCACACATTGTTTCCCTTCGTGTTATTGGCTAAACTTGGGCACAAAGAAACAGTTAACATTATTGAGACCCAACTAGTTAAAGCTCGTTTATATATAAGAGGCAATACAAAAATATTTGTTCAATATAACAATGTTGGAAATTCAAGATATATAAATACAGGCAACAAGACATAATTAGTTACTATCATGAACACATAGATTACACATTATAATGCTACAAGGCAATATCCCATAATATCAAGATGACCATATATTTGCAGAATCTAAGGACTAAACATCAATATCCAAATCTTCTGAAGTTCTACCTAGTATGTAAAGAATTAATCAAAGTAAAATCAGAGAAAATACTGAAATACAAGATATTGAAGAACTTGCATTCCTGTGTTTATATGACATTTGAACAACAATTATACATTCTATTCATGCACCCAAGTAATACAAACCTGACAGCGTGCTGCATATGTCAGCAGTTTGAGAGTAGCAACAATGAGATCTTCATTCCATAGTGATTGCTCACAAAGAATGCTATTTACAGAATTCCTAAAATCTGCAATCTGCCCCAAGCATACGTTCAGGATTAAGAATCAGAACTACTTATCAAGTCGGTGAACTTGAGCAAACAAAGGGATCCTACAAATAAGCATCAGCACAACAACTAACCTGCTTATCATCCAGCCCAAAACATGCGTTCCGAAACACGTACAATTGTGAATATTCAGCAACAACTAATAACATAGACAGTACTCTTACTGCACCCATTTGAATTCTCTGCACGGAAAACTCAACATCAAGTAAATGCAATTTGACTTATCATCCAAAATTAGAAGAAAACAAGAACAAGTTACCTAAATGGCCTTTAAACTGTACCCCTAGTTTCAATTTAGCTTTTAAACTAAATTTTGTCTCAATAAAGGTCTTTTAACTATTGACTTCACACTATATCTTGTCACAATAAAGGTCTACTATTCATTAACAGAGGTGGACCTAGAATTTTTTCACAATGGGGCAGCATTCTAAATAATTAATGAATGAAGCAGCAATGTCACAGACCAAAATTTTATTCCAAAATGGTTGAAACGTCCAAAACATTTCTGTTTTCAAGGAAATCGAAACGAATCAATAATCAGTTATCGTATTACCAATGTATAGAGGTGTTTCAATCAATTTTGGGAAACAAATTTTCAAGTTTTTCCCAGTATCAAAATAATCTACCGAAATAAAAAAATTTATCTTCCACAAAATATTAATTCTAAACACTTTTAAGTACAAACACCTGTCTCCTCTGGGTTTTGTGACAATTTGTAATATCCTTGACAGACTGGGGAGTGCTCCTTCATGAGGTCCGCTCATTGTGGCCTTTTTGGAATATGCACATACTTGGATGTATTTTGAGCTATATTGTATAATCGTTCTTTTAGGAATAAGTTTATTTACTTGAGGAAAAGAATATTGTAAATCTACCCACAAGACGTCACATACAACATTCACCCAAAAATAAAAGGGTGCTAAATTTAATACTTCATAATTGAGTCTTTAAGAATCAATTTACAAGGCCCATAAATCACCAATTCAAAACTGAGTCAACCACAAATTTTTCAAAGTTCCGCCATTACTTATCAGTTTGAGTAAATGTGAACCTTCCATCCAATTCTATCTAAAATACCCTACAAGAAATATCACGTGATCCCTGCAAGGTTATCTGAGACAAGTCATAAAATAACTCAACTTCCCACACCCAAACCCAACTGTCCAACCTGCCCGCCAAGCCTATCAATGTCATCAAACTTATACTTCCTTAGTCAAATCAGAATTCCCCCTATGCACAAACAATCAGTGCAAAATCAAATACCTCTCTCTCTCTCCCTCTCTCTCTCTCTCTCTCTCTCTCTATTTGTAAAACTAGACATCTGCCCCTTTTTTTTGATCCTCCACCACCACAAGCAGCCTCTACAAACAATCGATGATGATGACTATAACTCTAGCATTAGGATTCCCACCTCACCCAAACAACCGAAATTAACCATTTCACCACCCTTCACACCTCCTAATTTCTCCATTACCAGTTTCCCCAAAGTCTTTTGACCCTTGAGCACTCTTCTAGGCACTTTCTTCTTTGCCACCATCTTGTGTATCATTTCTTAATCACTTTTGAAAACATTTTTCGGAGCACAAAAGCTTCAATTTGCACAACATTGTCTGATGACACCAAGCCCATCTCAACTACGATTTCATAAATACCAAGTATACCTGTGGATCCATCAAATACTAGGGTTTGCTTCAGCTTCTATGTTGGCCTAAGCTTCTCTAAAATCATCAGTTATAGAATTATCATTGTTATTGGTAACACAGGAGAGGCTATAGGGGTGATTCCAGGGTCAGCCAAAAAAAAGAAGATTCAACACATAACCTACAAATTCACCAATTCAATTGCATAATATCTGTGGAATGTATATTCATTAAATCATGTTCATCATGTTTCAAGTTTTTCTTTGTTAACAACTGTCACTATGCTTGTGAGTTAGGTTGTACAATATTGAGTCATTTTTGTGGCTTGGTTAGTGAAATCCATAGAAGAAGGATAAGGCAGGTTGAGTGGCCATCTAGATCTGGTTGGTAGGTCGGGAATATTTTGGGTAGGTGAGATCTTTTACGATTTACATAAATACCTCTACTGCAATCACATAAGAAGTGCATGTGTCACTTTCTGATACAAAATGTCGAAATTGGACAGCACATGCACATATACTCAAATGAAAAAGTTAAAAGGTCTTAGAAAAATCTAATTCAAGGACTGAAAAGAAACTAGGGGTATACTTTAAGCACCATTCAGGTTTTCACTCAAAAAACAATATTGAAGATACACAGGACAATGAACTCATGCAAAGGAATAAAGATATATAAAACAATCCCTGCACAGGAGATGACAGCAATGCAAAATCTGAAAATTATGTGATTTTAAATGGATTGAGTTTCTGAAATTGAACATATACAAGTCTCTCACAAATTTGTACAAGAAAAGCGATGTTAATGCCAGAGAGCAAACATATACGAGAATTATCTCCAACCACGCTCACTCACACGCCTATTCAGGAGTAAATGCATGATATACACATTATAAGCCAGTACACACGGAAAGGAAAAATAAAAATAGATCTCCAACACATACTTAATATTTACGTGCAATACTTTTAAAATTTAGACGATATTATCAGAAACCTATGACAAGTAGCAAAATACTGAAACTCCACTCACGTTTTGATAATGATGCATTTAAATTGCACAACATATGTGAGAATAGTAAATAGTTAGTTGCACATATATTTAAGTGGACACATCATAATAATAACATTCACAGAAACCAGTGGTAAAGTGCAGAATGTACTAATGAAGAAAAGGTAACTACTGGGAAAAGTAAGTGAAAAGCAAAAAATTTAGACGTAAAAACAACATGTCGCCATAGAGCCATACAGGATTCCTGAAGCATGAAATCAATGATATCACTGCTGTAACTACTGGAATGGGTTTGGTTGTGGATGACAGCATCACTTGATGAAAGGCCGAAAGGCTAGGGAGGCTATCCTGAAAAAATAGCACCAGTTAATCATATTTTTGTTCTCAAGTGATTGGCTGAAAAAAACATCCACCGTACATTTATGTAGCAGTTATCACTAAACCAGTCAGTCTGCCACTTTCTCTTAGATATACACACATACGATTGAATGTGTAGGTGTTTTCATGCAAACTTGCAACATGTATAATTAAAAACAGTTAAAACTTCTGAAGTACTATACTCAATGCCTGAGAGAAAGAGAAAGAAAGCATCAAATTTCCAGGACTAGTCAATACAATGTCGAATTAAATATTAAACTATCCAATGCAAAACCAGTAAATTACTTACCAATGAAAAAGGCATGCACTGGCAGGATATGCTATCTTAAGAAATCATTCCTAAAGGGCTATGTGAGTCAAAATCTAACAAGGCGGCATACCTTTGAGAGATCAGAAAGCATGCTGAAGAGGATATCCAAAGCGGAAGATATAGCCAACTGTAATCCTTCAATCTCCATCAGATCGTAAAGGCGGCTGACATATATTTTCTGTAAGTGCAAATGAGTATATCATGACTGAAACATGCATATCCTTAGATAATGAGAAAAGGGCAAAGATAATGAAAAAAGGCAGCGACACTGACCTCCAAATCTTGTGGAGTAGTACAAACAATGTGAAAGAGAGTATTGTGAATGGAAGAATCAGAAAGTAAAACATTTCGGACAACCTCACCCAGTTTCCGACTGTATGGAACTGACAAAATGCATTTCTTCATCACTTCAAGCACCTACAACAATAAATGCATATCAAAATTAGATATATACAACTAAAACCTGCCTCCATGAACCACTGTATCAGCCACCATGAGACCACATTTTAATGTCCAGCGGCCGAGGAAATCAGATAAAACAAGAATTTAGTGTAAGATAGCTCTATGGTGGAAAAGGTTTGGAATAACAGAAATTATGTACATATTTGACCAGGTTGAAATACTTAAAACTGAATTACAGTCCAATCCCAGTATAGTGAATTCAATAGAATTGGAGGGAGCATTGATGACAGCGTCAAACTCCAGCTTAAACTTCGGGTTAACACAATGCAAGATGATGCAAACATAGAATACAACCATTTCAACAATCATGTACTTTGCAGAGTATGTCTGCCCATACATACCATCACAGACGGGAGATACCCACTATAAGTAGTAATGAAGTTTGTGATTTTCCCTTATTTATATCATGGCATAAAAATGAACAATTGAAAAAACAACAACAGAAAGAAAGAAATACCACATGACATCTGCTGTAACACCTTTACACCATTAAAATATTCATTATACACCAGCTCTCGGACATACCATGGATGGCTATGAAAAAATAAAGACTCATCTCTTTCATATGTTGTTTGAGGAGCAACAGACAAACGACATTTAAGGAAATCAGAAAGATACAAGAGATGTAGACAATTTTTTTCCTATTGAGTTGTAATATCAAAGTTTAACAAGCTGGAATTGCCCTTTCTTTTTAATAGGTTAACAAGCAGGTAATGTGGAGATCCACAGGAAGAACACTTGGCATTGATCAAGATAATGTTAATTATGCAGATTGGATTGGTTTTCAAGTGCTTAACTTGTTCTGTAATATTCCAAGGTCAACCTACTTGTGTTCAACTTGTTCTCTAAATCCTTGCGATGCTTGTTTCCTCATCCCTATCATTCATATAATGCTCATGGTGCTTCTACTGTTTCTATGATTTGGTTTTCTTCTCTTTCACTTTCTAGGGATTTTAGGCAAAGTTGAAATGTAAATGACAAGGATTCTCTAGATTTGGTTTAATGATTATATTTGAATCAAGGGTCTTTTGATAGAAGATGATGGGTTCATGGTTCTATAGATGTCTTTTCTAGTAAGTCGTCATTTGAATCTTTGATTGATGATCCTTATTGTTCACCACTATCCCCATATTCCATGGTATAGAAGGCTAAAGTTCTTATTAAGATACAAGTTTGTGCATGGTATGTTGTTCATGGTAGGATCAATACCAATGACATGCTTCAAAGGAGAAGACCCCAAGTTTGTCTATCTCCACAAGGTTGTGGTATGTCGATGTGATAGTGAATGTGTAAATCATTCAGTTTTGTGCTATCCTACTGCCTTGTGTTTGTGGAACAAATTGTTTAACATGGCAGGATTGAGATGGATGATTCCTTGCTCTTCTTCTTCAATATTTGTTCAGACTTAGGAGCCACGGTTTGGGGTTACTCTATGGATTGTGAAAATTTTGCTATGGTTTGGGTCATTTGGAAGAAAAGAAATTCTTTAATATTTCAAAACAGATGAGAGGTTGTGGATGGCTTATTGGATCAGACCTATCTTTCAGGGTATATTTGGGTATCAATCAAGAAGGACTTTGTGGGAACTATCCTTTGAATATTGGCGCAATGGAGAACTTTATGGGAGTTATAGCCAGGCACCTTTGTAGTGGAAGTCTCCTATGTAATGCCTTTTCTATTGTTTGATGTTAGGTTGAATGACTTGTCCAACCTTTTTACTTTCTGATGTATAGCCATTCTCATCAACAGAATGGATTATTCCCCTTAAGAATGTCAAAGTATCCTTGGATATGAGGAAGCTTTTACTCCACACTACAGCGTGTTGTTAGAAGTTTTGGTCAAGCCAATGCTGCTCCCCAGTTTGCATAATTTGTGCAGGTATGTTTATTTACTTCCAACCAAGGTTGCCCGGATCGCGGGTCGGTTGGGTACGTGGTATGAGTACAGGTGCAGGGTACGTTACTTTTTCTGGTGCACAGTGCGGTGGGAGTAGACTTAGTTGGTATGCTATTTTGGGTCGCGGTTCGCTTTGAACTATTATCCGGATCGTTTTCATTATTACAAAGAATTATATAAATATATACATTATAAAATGCAAATCAAGACCAACAACAACACATCAACTAATAATCATGTATAAAATAGTAATGATTGCATATTTTATTATCAGAAAAAGACAACATATAAATTTAAAGACTTAAAATTTAAAAAAAAACATACAAGAGAGCGATTAAATAGTTTCCTTCTTGAAGCACAAATCAAAATAACACTCTTAAACATCTAACAAATTTCAAATAAACATTACTTAACAATAAGAAAAATTGGAGCACATGAATTAACTGTCAACTCTTTTCCCTTTATCTTTTGCAGTGTTTTCTCCTCTTGCAAAGTTACTAATTTGATTCTGATGCAATCCGAAATAACGAAGCGGTGGCCTATTAGAACTAGTAGGTGACTTGTCAATAGAGACGGGCATAGAAGTATGTAAGGATGAAGCATGCTAGAACTAGTAGGTGGCTGCCAGGCTAGTTGCGTATAAAAAGTTGTAGTCTTTCAATAAGACCGCTGCCTAATTGGTAGACATTAGTATTTTAACTTTTTTATCCAAAGTGTGTGATAACATGTCTTGTAAAATAAAGGATTTTTTTTGTCTTTTTATCAAAAAAAACTTAAGTGTTGATAGTATAGATAGAAAAGAGAGAGAGAGAAAGAGAAAGAAACGGGAAAAAAGAAACCCACGTCGAAGCAGAGAGAGAAGGAGAAGGAGATAAGTCGACGAAGAGAGAGATAGAGATCTACGATGGGAACCACACCAATCTTCATATGCAAGATGCGAAGTCAACAGAGAGATAGGGAGAGAAGGAGATTGATTGATCGTGGCAAACGAACGTGATCCATAACACTTTTTGATGTAGTAATCCAAAAATATTTGTGGGATCCATCGGGTATGTAACCTAATCTTCATTATTCACTCGGTTTGGCCTATTATAGCTTAATCCGTGCAATTTTTGATATTTACAATGATTTGGTTTGATATTGGTTTAGGGCTTATATTGGGAATTTGAGTCTCTGATTCTGAGTTTTGATTTAGTCTGGTTTGATAGGGGTCAGAGATTTGAGCGATCCAGGTCACGAACGACCCACATTTGGGGTCGTGCGACCCAGATTGGGAATCGTAAAGGGTCATACGTTTTCTGGTAACCCTACTTCCAACAATTCTGAAGCTTAGAAAAGAGAGAAGTTATAAATTTAATGGCAACCAATATATGGATGATTATTTATGTAATCCAAAGTTGAAGTAGGGTAAACTAGCCATGTTTTTGTACTCTTTTTGAAACAGGTAAATCAGGGGATACCTTTAGTGTCACCTTCCAGCGAGCATGTTTAACCTTGAATTTCCAGTATTGATGATTAACAAAAACATACTGAAGGGCGAAGATGACAAGAGCAAGGACATCATCGTTTTGTACTCCGTTCTCCACAAGCTGCATAGTGAAGTCGAGCACTGCAAAGTTGAAAAAAATCAAGTCACAGGACAAGACACGTTGCCAATAATATAATGCACATCGACGTAAGACAGTTGGAACAAGAAGAAAATTAATGTTGCATTAATCCAAATGATGAGAAGCAACTTCCGAATGGGAATAGTCGTGACAAATTAAGTCATGGAAGAACCGAGGCTTTTGTGTTCTATAAGCTAGCAATCTTGAGGCCATAACCTCAGGTTCGATAATAAAACAATCAGGATGAGACAACAAAGAACAGAAGTTCTATGCACGTCAAGTAATTTTCAAGGTAAGAACAAAATCCATACTCACAGGCAAAGTGATACCCATAATTTCAAATTTTGAAAAATAGATTTACAGTGCTTCTCTAAGCCCATCTCACTCTAATGACCAAAGTAATCATTTCTAGTAACTTTAAAATGATTCTCCCAAAAAATATATTAAAACTTTGGTGGATAACGACAATTTTCCGTGACTAACCCCAGCTACAGATAACATACATCGTATGACTGCCCTTAGTGAATTGTAGATGCATTTGGTCATAGCTTCTGCAATGAAGTGTTTAAATTCATCGCCAGCTTTGAGTGAAGAAAATTACCAAAAAAAAACCAGACGCGTAGCAAAATAGCAGAAGTGAGGGAAGTGTAAATAACAACACAAAAACATTGCAAAGATAAGGGCGGGGAGGACACAATTGTGGTCTATCATAAGTGTGCCAATACAAGAAATGAACATCAATGAATTTATAAGCAGATACGGCCTATGGACAAATCTTAGCCAACAATTTTATTTAATTAAAACTTGATAAGGAGTAATCAAGACAAATTAGAACAATAAAATACATGCCTGATATGGTCAATGGACAGCAGTTGTCATTTTGCTCACAGTCAATTAAAAGCATCTTGGCAAGTCTTTCAGAAAGCAACCATGAGCTACTGGAACAACCAAAGAAAAAGAAGAATCAAACAATGATATACCAATATGGTTTGACATAGGTCCAAATTACCCTGACAATCCATAGAACTCCAGCCAAAAATTTACCCAAGACAATTACCAATACCATGAGAAAGATCAAAAGCACATTATAAACACAAATCAACAGATTCACTAAGCACACAATCCCTCATTCTTTTTCCCATTCCCCCAAAAGACATTGATCTAAGAATATTTTTTCTTTCCTGCAGGCTTCTCTATCAGTGCAGAGGTCATGTTGTTGCCCTACTCTTGCTCTTGCAATTACTTCAGACAAAAACTCCCAACATACACAAGATATTTAAATAAATCTTCCACTACATTATACTGCAACAAAAATAATTCAAGTATGCCTAATCAATATAATAAAACATAAAAACTGAATTTACAAACCACAACAGAAACATAAAAAATTTAATAAAAATAAGGTAATATGAAAAGGGTATCTTCGCTACAAGAAAATAGGTATAGCACTAATAGGGACCGCAAAAAAAATCATATTGCAAACACATATAGAGAGACTAGCCAATTATTTTGTAAAAAGAAAGTCAAAACCAGCTTTAATCCATTAATTGGATCGAAGACTGATCCTAGTGATTTAAGGATGCAACTATTCAAAATCATTGCATTCACACCTTACTTTTGGGACAACCCAGTTGTGCAATTAAATAGTTTAAAATACAAAATGTATAGGTGAAGTGATTGTTTTTGCATTCACACTTTACTTTTGGGACATCCCTATTGTGCAATTAAATAGTTTAAAATGCAAAATGTATAGTCGAAGTGAAGATTCACCTTGATAAACCATTAGAGCCAACATCAAAGGGATTCGTCCTTGAAGCAACATCAAAAATATTTGCCTTCAGAACCATTATAGTGACTATAGATGGTGAGCTGCAAAGAGTTAAATATAGGGGAAGAGAGGCAGAAATTAAAATCAACAACCAGCCAGAACACAATGCCAATGGTGCAAATGCGTGGCCCAAAGAAAGACACACAAAAAATTCACACGATTCAATTACCATTTAACTACATAAGCCACTATAGTTATGACAGATGGAAGAAATCACCAATAATTGTTGCTATCTAATTGTAACATCAAAAAACATATTATGTAACATTGTTCTGAAAAAACTATGTCATTTTCCACTAACAACCAAATTTAAACAAGTCCAGCAACATTTTTTTGTCAGTTTTCAAAGGCAATAAATATTATAATGCTAAAAATTTTAGAAAACACATAAACTAACAAACACTAATGCACCCAACACAAACAAAAGGGTTACCATTTTAACATCTTCGCCAAAATATTTACACCCAGGGACATCATCACCACACCATCACAATTAGGATTGTGATTTTTGACCAAAGTGCAAATGATCTGAACAAAATTAATCCTGCAGTAAAAAGCCAAAGGAACCATTATCAAAAACTGTAAGAGAAAATATAGCAAATCCATAATGGCCAAATGTTTAAAGAAACAACAAAAAACAAAAAAAAAAAAAAATATATATATATATAATGGCTAGAGTTCATTACCATGCATACTTCTCTACTTGCCCATTCATTGGAGTCGCTTCTTCATGTAAAGAATTTCCAATTTCCATAAAAGCAGAACATACAGCCTAACGATAAAGTAAGGACCAGCGCAGTTTGATTTAACAATGAAACAAGAAAACTCAAAACAAGGCACATAATAAATGAAAAAAACTTTACTTCATGCGCAATGTCAAGCATCAACGAGGATATGATTGTTCAAGATGTACAGGTAAGTGGTCATGGGCGTCTATCTCTCAGACCTCTTCCATATGTCAGTGTTTGCTCTTAAATGAACTGTTCTATATTAACCAGATAATGAGTTGAATTTTTTGCATGGGAGGAAAGGCTTTGAGCAGACTAAACGTATCCCAGATTTTTCAAAAGCTGTAGGGTTCCAAATAAATCACAATCATGATAAGCTAAAAGAGTAATTAATATAGATCGTATTAGAACTGATACCAAAGATCGTAGTAGCTTTGATACTTGATGTAGTTCAAGAGAAAGAGAAATTGGGATATTGAGATGAGAGTAGAAGAAAAAAGGAGATGAGAATCAGAAATCAAGAGAAACAATGCCCAATATTATTCAAAAATAATCAAAGTCTACCTCAAACAAGAACCCTTACCCCTATATACATGGGATACAAAATCCTAAAACCAATATATAATCAAAATGATAAATAAGTCCTTTAAAATTAAAAGAAATTACACAAAAAAAAAATACTAAATAATTCTCATAAATAATCTATAATATCTATACAACTCCAACCCGATCCTCATTAGTAATGTAACTTAAAAACATACAAGTGGATGACATGTTAGTTGAAGTTTATTAAAACTCGAAGTGTCCATATCCACCATATAATTTGATCATTGAAACAAAGCACATGCGACTTTGGTCAAGAAAATGACTCAAAGACATAAATATAAAGAAGTATTTGCTTACAAACACACCAAGCAATAGCCCCTTAATAGTTATCAAAAGTAAGTAATCAAAAACTTAATTCACCACACCAGTATCTATGGTGTTTTAGTAACAGCTACTTGCAATATGAAATATGTCTACAAGAGATTTTGTGATATAAACCAATAAGTCAAGTAGATCATGACCTAAAACAAACTGGACTGCAAGGCAATTGCCTGCATCATAGAGTTGCTTCCCAGGAAACTTCATGTAACTTGGTGGATCTTTACTTAAAACAGCATAAAGGTGTCAGCAATAGTTGTTCCAGCAATAAGAATATTCCAAACTCTGCATGAGTTTTGAGTTGGCCTATAATGTTGACCCTATCAACCTAAACATTCATTGAGATTTATCACCCTCTCTATTGGCCTCTCTTGCTAATGTGAAAAAAAGCACATCTATGATGACAACGTCATAAAGCTCTTGACCATTGCATCATATTGAACACATTATTCAATACAAAGAAAGTGGTACATTAAACAATCATGGGGACACAATGCTAGAAAGAATTTTGCCATGAAATTATCGGCAAGCAAATATGCTAACATATAAAATTCAATTACCGCATTAAAGGTCACCAACCGACTAAGCAAGTCAAGAGTGACAAGGACTTCCTCAGTGCTATCCAAATACAGCTCCTGGGCCAAACGCAAAAGCAGCACAAGCACTCCAGATAGTTTGTACTACAAAAAACACACTCCACGTGTCAGGGTTTTTTTCAGTAACTTCAGCTACAAAGCTGATTCTTGGAGACTAGATCATGAAATATATACCAAAAGGTGTTCGAATTCAAAAGCTTCATGATCTTCTAAGCACATATTAGTCACCGCACAATGCTCAAATTATTGTACCAAAAACTAATCCAATCAGTCACAACCAATATTCAACAACATGGAGAACAAACATGTCTCGATCCTATGAGTAAATCTGATGAGAAGTGGTGTAAGTAATTTCAAGGCAGAAGCAAAGTTCCATGTTATAGAAATGGCTAGGAGAGCTGAGCTCATGTTGAGGCTGAAGGAGGAGGAGGAGGACAATTTGATAACCAGGCACCCTAGATTTGACGTGGTGCTCGTACAGAGAAACAAACCGTAGAATTTCGGGTTAGCATGCCACCATTTTAAGGCGTAGATTCCTTTCAAAAGGATCATTACCCAGCATGGTCTCCTTTAATCAAAGGAATTGTGGGGTGGGGTGGATATAGACCTAAATTTTAACATTATTTGCACAAAGTGGTTGCCATCAAAACACTACCAAGTTTGATCCCTGTCCGTTCAATGAAAATATTGAGGGGGCCAGAATAAGTCCAAACCTTCTGTGCATTATTTACACACACATACAAACATATTTGGATGGAAGGAGTTAGTTCCTTATCCTGATGCTTGGGTGGATGAGAAGAGATTCGCATCTGGTCTCCATTCGACCGTCGGATCAACATATTATGTTATTTACAAGTGGTGCAAACTCAAACTTTTCCATTCCCAGCCTCGATGAAGGATGTTATAGAAGGTGACATCAGTAAGCCATAAATTGCCAATTTTCACAGAGCTATAATAATTCCACAAAGTGAAAGCCAAGGAAGGGACAAAAAATCTCATGATTACCACGAATATCCACAGGTACAAGCACAAATTAGAACAATGCAAATGAAAATACAAGGTAAAAATTCTTCAAGTATATTTTTTTTTACCTCCCACCGTACAAGTGCAGTATTCCCATTAATCACTTTCAACACATAACCTCGTGTTTTAATAGGAATGATCAAACTTTCAAAACCAGGAACATGCAATGGGTGGCACGCCTCAACGATCTGTAAAGTATCATCCACTACAGAGTCTCTGCTTATCTCAAACAAAGATGATAATCCAACAGACTTGTCAAGAAAACTATACCTGTCGACACATTAATGAGAAAACTACTTAAATAGAGCCCATATCAAGAGTAATTGATATTAGAAAGGAAAAAAACCATACTTGTACATTTCTTTGGGAGAAAAATTGAAAAAGGGAACAACAATTCAAATCTTAGGCCATAGGCTTTAGTATTGACACCAAGAAACTTAGGCATCCAAAATGCAATGCTTCCAGTATATTATGAAGTTAGTACAGAACGTACCATTAAAAGTCAACACAGAAGTTTGATTTTGCATATTAACATCTTAATCTTTTCTTGAGCCCACCACTCCATTTTAGACGTCAGGTTTGCACTTCTACCACAGCGTGGCACTGTGGCTTTAACAAATGAAGTTGGCTAATCAAAGATCGGTACAAGAAATTCCAGGCTTGAATCAATTAGACTGATAACCGGATCCAATAATAACGGAAGGAATCAATTTCCCCATTGCAGGATACACAATGCCAAGTCAACCACCCACTTGAGGCTTCCTGATGTGATATTAGCAATGTTTCTGTCACAGGGAAATTTTTCTGATTGAGCCGTCCTGCTGTGTCGGAATTTGTTTAGAACTTTTCTAACTCCAGAATGGATCAAAGTGTCATGCCACGGTTCGGCAAGATAACTTGACAAGCCCCTCGTCCAAGCAAACACGCCATATGGATTCTGGGTTCCAGGGATACAAGCCACAACACAGTCCATAGGGATGGCCATGTCACCTGATGCATAGAGCATCCTAAGGCTTGATCCTAGTGGCTGGAATAAGACCATTGTCGAAGGAATGATCATGATTAGCATCTTTCTTGTCAGTCAGTCAGTCATGGACTCAAGGCCCTAGGAACATGATTGAAGGGATATTCCTTCAGGATGTGAAGAGGGGCTTATTACTAACAGGTGGACTATTATGACAGTGAAAAGAAGTGAGACTACAGTGCTTACTCCCAGGCCCTGAGGTGGCTTGCCAGATCAGTATGGGTCATGCTTCGTGTTAATGTAATTCACTACCCATCTAAACCCGGAAGAAAAGAATGTGCCAAAAATATGCATATAAGGATAAAGATCAGGACAGGGATTAGCATCTCATATTATTCATAATATGGATTCCAACTTTCAGCCATCCTCTTAACTTTAAACCACCTGTCACTCAACTAAATCACATCAAAGTTCCAAACCATTGCAATGAACTCTCTCATATATTTATAAATTGTGGAGAATTCGTAATAAATTCAAGTGCACTTGTTTCAATTTATTCTTTCAGCCTTCAACTGGATCCCTAGTTTTTTTCCTTGTTATTGGCCAATTATTACCTGAATTGAGATGCTGACATCAAGTGCCATTAAACGATCATAAAAATAATACTGAAAATGAGTGCAAGGACAGTGACCACTACATAGAGAAGATTGTATTCCCCCTTATGTTGTGCTAAGAAAGAAAAAACACTGATTACATCGAAGGTTAGAGCCTATGCTAATTGTGAATATTAAATAGAAAGTGTACTATGGAAATGAAAGCATGAAGCATATCAACGTAGACATGAAATTATAACAGTGAGTAATAGCAGTAAAGTCCAATTATTGCACTCGGCTTAGGAGATTATGATTTCAGGAAAAAACTGCTTAAAATGATACGTCAACCACAATGAATATCATTCGGTGTACTTCAACCCCTACCATTGAAATATCTCCAGTGGCCATCTCCACACCATCTACTTTTAAGGACCAAATAACTCATCGCAAAATCTTTTTTCTCCAGTTTGATATTTTTCAAAGCACAGCCCCAAGATTGAGTTTGGTATTTCTCAAACTGCCTCTAGATTCTTTTAAAGAGTAGCACACTATAGTTAAAGCAAGACTAACTAAATTCATTACAGTTTACTTTTCATGATTCTATCATAATGACAAAATAACACATGATGACCAGGCAACGTGTTTGACTCCTCCCGTCCCCATCGTTGCATATCAAAGAAAAATTCATTTCATGTTACAATAAACCGCATTTGGAAAGACAACATTTGTGTTGCACAAGGGGAAAAAAATAATATACCCAAGAGATAATGACCAGAAAAAAGAATCAAAATTCTACATACACACATTCCGCGGGCCAAGTTCCTTCACAGAGGGCTGATAATAAGCGCACAAGTTCCACAGTCCTAAATGGAAATTCACCCTCCAAGTTGCAAAGAAGACACCGGATAGGCCCATCAATGATACTATCCCTATCCCAGAACTGAATACAAAGTGATTCCTGCAGCAGTCATCGCCAATGAACTCCAATAAATGGAAAAAACAGAGAATAAGATAATTAAATTATCCGGTGAATTGTCTATTAGTATCATAAATAATTACAATCCACACCTCTCCTCGATATATTTTGGTAAGGATATCCAATATTAATTGGAGGCTATTATCCTCTAGCTGCAAAAAAAATAGAGCAAAATTAATGAAAACAACAATGCACAAGTCCTTTACAAATTAAAACAAGGAGCATACGCAATTGCCTGAATACTGATCTCATACGATGCAATAAAGGCTGATATAAATGTCCTCATGACACTTCGATAACCAGCAATAGGTACCTGGCACAAGTTTATTTGCACATTGAATGAAAATATCACAGATAAGTAGACTTCTGACGTAGACTAAACAAAAATGAATCTATCCACAAGGAAAAGTGTGAGCATAAGGATAAACCTCGAGATCATACATAAAGGTCAAGTTTTAAACTAGAAACAAGACACTTAAATTAACTTGAAATAACTCACATCTGAATCCTTCAACACATTACTTTGAAGAATTTCAAGAAAATAACTTAAGGATGCTGCCTCAAATGCTTGACGAACGTAATTAACATGATCAATCTCCTGAAGCATTGAATCAAAAGTGAAAAAACTTGATAAAAAAGTTACAATATTTGTGGAAAAAAAAGCAGATGCAGTAAATTATTTAACATGTTGACAAAACAATGTACCATTAGCACGGCATTTTCCTCTTTTTCTGGAAGAGATGAAATGAGACAAAGAAAAACTGCCCATGCTAGAATTAGTGGGCCTGCTTCTTTTGTCTCAAAAACGTTGAAACCAGAAACCAAGGCATCCATTTCTTGAATATCAATCAAGCAAAAAGCAGTACTACCCTGCCTGAGGAAAAGTTAACAACAATTGAGGAATGCAAATACAAAAAGATCAAAATTCCAAATGAAAGGACCATAAAAATTAAAGGCAGTAGATAAATTCTACCAGTCCTGATCAAAAAAAAAAGAGGAAGTATAACAGTCATACTATTAAACAATCAATGCCGACATTTTTGAAAACTAAGATCCTAGGAATTCGAGTGTTTAAAGCTAATTATAAAAAGGAGGTTAATCTGTTTTTACCTTGTCTTCTGACATTGTACACTTTCTTTCTAGGGTATAACTAAACTCAAAAAAATTGTCCCAAACACTTGGGGTTAACTACATGAATCCCTTTTCACCATTGAGCTCTATTTAGGACCATGTTTTCTCCTAAATCATAAGCTATCAAGTATTATTTATTGTCTCCATCCACATTAGTTTTAGTCTTCCTCCACATTATCGTCTGTAGTTACCATGTCACTCTTTTATACTGGCATAGTTATAAGTCTTCGATGAACACTTCCATATCACCTTAGCAATTCTCTATTAATTTATTTCCTAGTGAAGAACTGTGTATATCAACTACAGTTATTTTCAAAATATGCCGCATTCTACACCATAAAGTATTCAACCTAAGAGATACTCATCAATCAAAATGCATACTCCTCTTAATTCATCATACATTCTCTTCCTAGATTTTCCAACAGTTTTAGCAACTGTTAAGTGGCTATGTTTATTAAATAAAAAAAAACACCTTTCTCCACAAAAAATGGTGTCAAAAGTATAAAAGTGGTTCGTGCAAAGATCAAAATGATGAAAAAAAGTTTTCATGTTGACTCCACCGAAGTTGAGGTCCTTGTACCATCGTTAAAACTAAGTAGACAATAACAAGAAGCCTCCTATCTAACAAGCAACACCAGCTAATAGCTTGAGTGGTACATCCTACCACCGCCAAAGAAAAGGCGCAAGGTTTAAGTCCTAGTCAGGAAGATCTATGTAATCATTGGTTTAAGTCCTAGTCAGGAAGATCTGTGTAATCATTGGTTTAAGTCCCAGTAGGGAAGATCTGTGTAATTGCTCTCCGAATGAGTATGATCCTACCACCACCAGAAGGGTATGCGCAAGGTTTAAGTCTTGGCTGGGAAGATCTGTGTAATCGCCTCCAAATGAGGATGATGATCAACCTAATTGAATGTCGTGTTTAACAAGACATAAAATGATTAGCAAGGCACAACATGTTGAAGATCACTTCCATAACCCCTCCCCCACCCAACATTTCAAAGAATAAAAATGGAAAAAGTTGCTTATAGGTGGAAGATCAACCTGGCCTTCCTTTAAGTTCACTTCTATTTTACCATGCAGCAACCCAATTGCCCACCCACCCACATAACCAGGCAATACGAAATAATCAAGTCGCTATATTCCATTTAACCAAGATGGATGTCGGGTTGCTCAGCTGTGGTAAGTACGACCATTGGAGGCAAATGCAATTTGAAATACATCTACTAATTAAGAAAATATCAAAGAGAAAATTCAAATGGGTTCTACAATCCTAGTTAAAAAATGGGTGCAGTCGTCCAGAGAAGCAAAAACTATAAGCCTTAAGCAAGTTGGAAATCTAATAATGGCCCTTTCTTTGCTTAGACATTTTGTACTATCCTCCCTTTCTGGACCCAACCTATTTGAAATATGTACTTTAAAATTTGTGAAGCATTTTGCAAATTAAGGTCAAAGCAGAGCAGACATGGTAGTTAGTTACTTTGCACAGCAATGCTTCAAATTCAAGCCCAAAAGGAGTACACATGACAGTCAGTCAGTTACTAAGTGATGCCACATTTTGTCATGAAATATCTATGTTAGACAAGTATACCAAGCATAAAGCGAAGCAGCAAAACACTAGGCATCAGCCATCAGCCCATGACATAATAATTATCTGATACTAAAAGGCATTTACATTAAGGCATGTTAATCATCCACTTGCACCAAATTGCAAGTTCCTCCAGTAGAAACTTTGCAAGGCATAAGCCCATATGACCTAAATCACGTACTCCTGATGGTCCAACTTCCAAGTACACTCCAAGAAAAAAGTGACAGCCATCACCAATTTTTTAACATCACGTCATTTTGGTTAGTTTGACCAAACAGAACATCACACCACATGCTGATTACGTGAAATTCAACTACTTAAGTTCTTCAAAAAAAATTAAGATAAGTTTTTCAGTAACTTCAGACAAAAATTTTAAAAAGAGCAACTAGCAAATTGCTGAAAACCTGAATGGCGTTTCATCATGGATCATTTGGAGCAGATTTTCCAAGTTCAGGGTTTCTATAAGAATAAGCAACAGCTGAACTTTGGCATGATAAATGGAAACTATCGCTTCAGGCGATATTGCCAGTTTCTTGAGGTTATAAGATCCAGATATGATTCCCTGCATTGTGGTGTCCTTAAGCAAGCATTAATGTAATAAAGGATGCACAAACTGATGCCAAAAAAATATATATATACCTCATAAACCAAGCACAAGTTTTTCCACTGTTTGCCATTACAAGTACAAAAAGACTCGTAATAAGCAAGGAAAAAAATGTCCAGAATCAAATTGTCTTCAATCAGGGTCTCCTCAGCCCACAAAGTGAAAAGGTCAACATCCTACAAGACATGTCCCATAATGCATATCAAAGGTCAAAGAAACCAAACAAAAACAGAAAAGCAGAAAACCCAAAAGGATCAAAAGGATGGCTATCAAAGATCCCTAGCCAGAGACCAAGAATTAGAAGTACAAACGCTATGGACAGCTAAAAAAGCATGGGTCAAAAGTATACACAAGTAACATAGGGTGCTTCTTCCTTATCATGGCCAAAAAATAGTACCAAATTCTCATGGTCAACATGTAGATCTTTGTCCAGTTGACAAAACACGAGAAAAGAGCGCTGCAAATATCCCTTGAACATATCACTCTACGTACATCTGAAAAGGACCCTATCCCTCAACTCAAGCCACAAATCATTGATCCCAATTGGTTGGTGCTAAGTACAAGGATCATGTTTAATTCATTACCATAAGATGTGCCTATAAGTTTATCAAGGATGTCTTACCACCACAACCATTCCCTTATAATCTATAATGCATCAGTAAATGGGGAAAAGTAATAGCAACCAAAAATCTAAATAGCAGGTACAAAAGCCTTCCAAGTAGGCCTACCCCTTATAGAAAATGCTGCTTGAGTGCATGGGCTTTGACTCAGGAAAATTGGATAAATTTACATATACATTACAAATCGGCTGCCTTTTTGAACTTTTGGTCTTCAGGTTAATAATGTGATCGTGTTAGGTTTCTTCGGGTCAAACCTGCACACAAGTTTATTTGGCCACTAAGTTTCTCTTTAAGCTAGTATCCTATTTTTTGAAAGGTGAAAATAAAGGATGACCTCATGTAAGCTACAAAACGAGCCAACCAGAAACCATCACAATAGGCTCACACAAAAGTTATCCCAAACCTTAGAAATATCCAAATGCCATGGGGGAAAAAAAAAGATTCAATATCCAGAATTCAAAGTTCAACCTCTCCTTCAAAATCCTTCAATTCCTCACTCTCCAAATAGTTCCCATGAAGGAAAGAGTAAAAAAAAAAAAAGCCATCTATTAGCCGCTCATACCATATCTTACAAAGCCGCTTCTTGACTCTACAACCTCTCCAACAATGCATTAAAGCTCCAACAAATCTCAACATCAACCCAACCACCAAAATAAACTACATGAATATGCCACAGCTCCCCTGCAAAAATTCGTAATGCAAGAACAGATGGTTTCAACTGCCCTGCTACATGCCAAACTAACTCACAAACCTACCAATAAACAAAAAAGCCACTTTGGGGGAACAATTTTCCTCCCAAACCTTTCTAGAAAATATACTAGAGGCTAGTGTTTTGTCAACTCAATTTGGATCACAAAAATAAGGAATCTTTTAAAGTCTATTACTTAGATGTGTGGGAATCTTTCTTGGGTTGAGATGTGTAGGATCCTTGTGATTGCCTAACTTGTCCCCATCCTTTGATTTCTTTGATAACCAAATCTATCAAAACCTTCCTCTCCCCGTTGAGAATGAAAAGAAAAAGGAAGCTATAAAGCAATAGGAAATGATAAACTAACAATTGACAATGGACTCCTCTTCCTACTGAATTTCTCAAATGTCACAATATTGTTCACAAATCACACTCAAACCAAGTACCACAACCTAGAAGAAATTTTTAGCAAGCCAAAATTCCTTCCTTTAGAAATCAACTAACCACCTTTTTCTTTTCTTTTTCTTTTTTTTATTTCTTTGACATGGGATAATGAAAAACGATGCCATCAAAAAAACATAAAGAAAACTGAATAATTGAAGTATACAGCCAATCCTCCATAGCTCTAACTAATTGCTGGACCTGGAGCAGCATTACTTCTAGCAACAAAAATTAACAAACTGAGCACCTACTCACTTTGGAAAATAAGATAGATAACCTAGGGATGGAAGCCTCAAAGTAGTTCCCCCACACAAAAAATGTCCTGCCAAAAGTGAACTATTCAACTATACCCACCATAAGCATGATAGACTCAAGCAAACAAAATCAAGCACTGGATGCATCACTCCATGAACAAACCACATGCAGATTTCTAGCCTTATTAGAGATCCCTATTGGTATCCCGAGCCATTCCATGAACCAGCTACATGCAAATTTCTAGCCTCGGCATCACAAAACTCTTAGAGAAGCTATGTTTCCTAATGCTTTCCAAAGTTAGAAGCTAAAAGAGAACCATTAAGTGGAGAACAATTTTAAATGCCAGGACAGTTCCCACATGTTAAACATGCATACATCTAAAAGTCAAAGCATGGAGAGGACCAGCTTAATCTCATAACTTTGCATCCTACTACCATTCAACTTACCATGTGTTCAGGATAACTAGAGGAGAGAAGGTCCTCAAGGACAGAAAGTAATCTACTTTCCAATCCATCGGAAATCAATTTCTGCACCTCTTCACTCATGGCATGACCTTTGGATCCCACTCCAACATATACTACAATACAATAAATGAATCACAACCACATCAACGACAACTTATTTTGCAGTAAATACAAATCCCACGTACCAGAATCAGAAAATAGCAGATGTTTTATACAGCCCTAATGAAAGTCAATAAAGAGCATACCCCTATATTCTTCTAAACCCACTGCCTGTGTGTATGTATACACGGGGGGAGAGAGAGAGAGAGAGAAATGCATCAAATCAAAATGGAACAAAAAAGTTGCATAATGAACTTACAAGCATACATCAGAATTTGTCGGGTGCACTTCAACAAGCATTGTCGCTCGATGTAATACTGAAGCATAACCTTCATGATACAAGAGAAAGAAGAAAAAGGAAATGGAAATCAAATTGGCTGTTTTTCAACAAGAAAAATTTCAACATAATCAATATCCCTTCATAGTAAACATCTATTCATAGGTATTCAACAAAAAATTGAGCTTTGTAATATCACCATGGGATTGGCTAACAAAATAATAGAACTCTAATTATTCACATTGACCGCAATCAAATAGTAATAATATTAGTAGTCAATCTGCCTTAAAAATTGGCTCCTCTACTCTTTTAGATGTTTCAAAGTATTGATCCATTAAATGACAATTTAGATAAGGTTTGTTCATTTTCCCTTCACAACCCATAAAGCAGATTAACAACAGAGTTAATCAAAGCCAAAAACCACTAAAGGGGAGGAGGGGTGTTTATACGAAAGAACTATTCTTCAAAGGAGACATATGCATGTATTGATGCAATATAAAAACAATATGAGCATTTATGATAAAGCCGGGCATGATGAAACAGTGAGCTATATTATTTTCGATAAATAATAAAAGAAAATAAAAAATATTTTAATATAGCCAACTGTATGATGACTTGGATCAAAAATTACATTGAACAAATGAAGATTGGTCAATACGAAATAATTCAAAGTCTCCAATTGGATGCATCAACAATTTCAAAGAGAGCAAGAAACCAGCAAAACATAAGTAGGAACGAACAATGGAAAAAATATACTAACCAAATGAAGAATTTCATGAACAATATTATCACCGGGTAGAGTGTTGTGCTCAATCGCTCTTTTGACAAGAATATAAGTTTGCACCTCATCTAAACACTGAAACAAAGGAAAATGTAATCCATTGCACCTCATTTAAACATTGGAACAAACAAAAAGTTATTCCATTCGCCCGACATACGGAAATAAGGTCATAAACTGAATTTCAGAATTTTGTTATTATGGTTGATATCGGCAAAAGGGAGGCATCCTCTCAAGACTCAAGTATGATGATGGGTTTTCTTTAGGAATCTGAAGTCAAAGTCTATACAGGACATTAGTAAGAACTATAATGTTAATACTTGATTGCACTCTCAGATCCAACAACCATTAGCAATGAAATAGCTGAGATCCTCACTCTATGGAAAGCCAGTAAAATCATACCAGGTTTTCTTATCTTTTACTTCAAGGAGAAGTCTTTGGTCATTACAGGCTGGGTTGTTCCAAAGAACCATGAAACCTTCGCACTAGATTGATTTTGTCCAATTTATTTTGGACTTCCAACATACTGTGACTACAAAGTTTTCTCAGATCTTCAGATCAGCTGTTGAGGAGGCCAATTTTCTTGGTAAGAGAGCATCACTATCCTTCTTGTCTAATAAGCTTCTGTAGTTGGTGGCCGCTCTATTCCGGAAATTCTCTACATCTGATACTTCCTTTGTGATGGATACATCAGAATAGTCACCCCACAGTTATATGAAACGATACGTTGAGAATGAGAGTGATTGTGTGTGAATTTACGAATAAGAGAGAGAGAGAGAGAGAGTGACTGTGTGCTCAAGATAGAGACGGGTAGAGGACATTGCAATGCTTTGCATAATTTAGCCTCTATGGAATGATCGTCCTCCCAGTACAATCTTCTTTTCTGATCTCTCAATGAAGAAAATTGTTATAAAGGCTCAATAATAAAGTGTTACCCCCTCAAATTGCACTGCTTGAAGGTTTGTAGCAGATCATAATTAAATCATTAGACAAAAAAAATACCACAAGCTTACCAAAATAGAACCAATTTCCAACGCCGCATCTTTCCATTCAGGTTCAACAACCAACTGATGTGACCCAATTTTAACTTGGCTAGAGTCTAACGCCTCTCTTGATTTTTGATTTGGCGGCTTGAACTGCGATACAGTTTCCAAAAACCACTTGTGGTTCTCTTTCAATTTCTTTACCTGAACAAATTTAAAAAAAATATCAATAAAGAACCACACACACATGGATATAATCGTGCATATACATAAGCCACACACAATTACGTCTACACGAAAGAGAAAGGGTTTTAACAAATTAAACCAAAAGATCAAGAAAGAACCACATATACATACCAGAGGCGGTGGGAATTCAGAAGAGAGACAAGCGTTCTCGAGCTCAGTGAGTAATAGAGAAAAAGAGTCCCACCATAGCGAAGCATCGACGGACTTAGTGTCTTGGTCGGCTGAATTCGAAGTGGTTGCCATCTTAGGAGTTTCAGCGTGGGCTTCAGAGAGAGCCCGCGCTTTTGGTGCTTCAAAGAGAAGACTGAGAGGGGCCTTTCCACCGACGTAAAAGTAATAGAACGGGCTAGGGGTTTATTTATGAATTTACCACGCCAATCCTATTTAGACAAAAAAAAACGACATCGTTTCAATCCCCAAAACGACACAGATTGACAGAAATTCATAAAAATAAAAACGTTTTTCTGTAAAAACAAAACCAAACCCTCTCTCAAGTTTCAAAAAACAAAACCTCCGTCGTCATTACAGTCAAGAAGACACTCTCTTCTCTTGCACAAATCTCTGTGGGAATTCAAGACTCACAACCCTTTCGCACAAATTGATGACCCAGAAATCAACTTTTTCTCAAATAGACTAGAAAGTTGCAAATTGGCTCCAGAAGATACACTTATAATAACAGAACCCATTACCTCCCTACCTCAATCAGAGGAGTTCAACTTCAAAGTCTTCCGTCTTCACCATTGTTGATTGGTTACGTATTACCTGGACAAAGCAATCATGGAAAGAGATAGATAGATACTGTGGAAATTTTTTACGGAAAATTTTGGGTTTCGGCGTTTCTAACAACGAATTGAAGGTTGATGCAGAGAGTTTTGTTCAAGAGAGTCTCTGCAAATCAGAAACGGAGAGAAGCTGGACAGAGAAAGTGTTTGGGGGAGTGAGGAGTGGGGCAGAGAGAGCATTGACAGAAAATTTATTTTACTGTTGTTTACCTAAAGCCTTATATAAACGGCGGCTTTTTCTTTAACAGCACCGCTTGTTGTGTTTCCTAAAAGCATAGAGGAGGTGCTCCCCGTGAAAAAACTAACGGTAAAAAAATTTTAAAAAGTTTATCGGCGGACGATGCTAACATTTTGATTGGGGTGTCAATTTTAATCGTTAACATTAACATAAACTCGACTTAATACAAAATCAAAATAAAGTTAAACACGATCAAAAAGAAATGTACAAAAAAAAAAAGGTATTTGTAATTTTTTTATATAATATTATATAAAATATTGTATAATTAAATAATTTTTTATTGATATAAACACTATACATATTGATGATACCTCAAAATAAATCTCAAACGTCAACTCAGAAGATCAGCTCAACCCAGGAGATCAGACTAAACGAACAAAACTCGGAAGAGTAGAGCTGGAGGTCCCTTCAAGATAAGCAAGAGCAATAACAATTAAGGCAACAATTGGAAGATCATGAGAGGTTCCTAAAAGCAGTGTTATCAAAACCGGACCGAACCGGTCTGTCGGACCGGTTCAACTGTGAACCGGAACCCTAACCAGTCCGATTTTTTAGTTGAACCGCTTAAGGAAGTGAACCGGCTAAAAACCTGAAAATCGGCCGATTTTTAACAAAAATCGTGAACCGTCGGTTTTATAAAAATCGGACGGTTTAATGCCTATTTAAAAATTAAATTACATAAATAAATTTTTTTGCCCTAAATCAGTAAATAGTTGATTTTTTTTAACATTATTCTTAGAAAAATTATAAATGACACCCCTTATTTTTCTTTATAATTTACTTGAACCTCTTTACTTTACTTTAAAATACAATAACCCCCACTTTGTTACTTAATTTCATTAATTTTATGGCAAACTTTATGTATTTTATACATATTTTATATTTTTTAGCTAAATTATTAAGTTTTATAATTATTATTTTTATTTTTTTATTTTTTTATTATATGATCAGTCTGACCAGTTGATCCAACGGTTGAACCAGTGAACCATTGACCCGGTCCCCTTGTCGATTCGATGGCCAATCTGGTTCTAATAACATTGCCTAAAAGCGTTAGGAAGCAATAATCGAGGCACCTAATCGCAACCAACTAAGATCTTCTCTTATAATAAAGGAGAATCCCACGAAATAAGGACAAGAATCTCGGCTAAGATCCCACTGAATAGCGAACAGTCATATAAATACTATGTAACGCCCCTAAGGAACGAGAGGAACCCTAGAGGCAAAAACTAGTCATTGTACTCTTGCAAATATCATTATTGAAAGACAAGGAACAAGAGTCTCCATTAAAGAGTGGATTAACCAAACTCTCGAGCTGGTAAACCACTATATTCCTACTGTGTTAATTCTCCAATTCCCCTACAATTCTCAGTATCATTCACTCGAGTCTAGTAGCTCAGATCTTAACAATTCCAATATTATTTTTTTTCATTTACTCGTCATCACAAATTCTCATCACGTTGAAATACATCATCAGTTTGGCGCCGTATATGAGAATGATTGTTCCTGTTACAAAAAAAGCTGATTTTCCAGTGACTGATGGTATCATCGCAAAACATGAGCTGAAGTCAGACCAATCCTCTACGAATGCAAGATTAACAGGAGGCCGCAAATAACAGGCAACCCAAAAACACTCAAGAAGTATATCCCCCATGGGGGGCCTTCCCATGAATGATGAGATGGAGGCCTTTCGTCTTGTCAATGAACGTCTGATAAAAACAGAACGAATAGCTCTTAAAACTCCTATAACGCCCATCGGAGGCTCGACCGACCCAAGGAGGCCAAAATAACCCACCACCAAGAGAGCAACTGCATCTCGACCCCCTCAAATAAGTTAATGAGGTGGGAGAGAATAGTTAGACCTTCAGGCAAGAACCTCGACTACCCCCTAGGAATGGACATAACAAGGAAGTGCAAAGTCAGTATAAGGAAGGGGAGATGAGCGACTTCTTCCCTTATCAACATGAGAGAAGAAAATATTATTGGGAGCAACGTTTCAAAGACATCCAGCAAGAACTCAGCCAGATGAAGGAAGCAGTGAAGAGCAAAACCCCAGTCACTATGGATGCCTTGGTGCAACAAACCGAATCCTCATTCACTGTTGGGGTGCTGCACTTCCCTCTCCCACCTAAATTTAGAATGCCGCTAGTGTATGCTTTCAATGGGACAAAAGATCCCGTAGACCACCTCAACACCTACAAAAACCAAATGGAGTTGCATGGATATCAAGATCCAGTGAGATGTAGGGCCTTTGCTATTACTCTGAAGGGCTCAGCCTTAACATTGTTCAACAGACTCCCTCCAGCCTCGATTTCCTCTTTTAAAGAGTTGTCAATCTCGTTTATGTCCCACTTCATTGGAGCTCAGACCTATAGAAAATCGAGTTACCATTTGTTAAATGTGAAACAGGGACCTAATGAGAACCTACAGTCTTATGTCCAATGGTTCAACTCATAATCCTTGAAAGTGGATGTCCCAGACAAAAAATTTGTTATTACAACCTTCATAGCAGGTCTAGGGGTTCAATCAAAAGACCTGATATTTTCTATCTCAAAGAACCCCCAGGCTAGTATGGTGGAGGTGCTTGCCAAAGGAAAAAAGTACATAAATGGTGAGGAAGCGCTCCTCTCCAAGGTCGGGAGCTCTTCGTCGAGAAAGGAGAAAGGGAATGAAGAAAAGAAGAGAGAACGAAGTCCCAGAAAGGAAAGAGAATGAGACAAGTCTCCAAGAAGAGACAGAAAGCGTTCCCCGAAGAGAAGGAGAAATGTCAGGAATCGTCTCGACCCTCCACAACCAGAGCTACAACCGAGGTATGCACCCCGGTAGCTCACCCCTCTGATGGCTATAGTATCTCAGATACTGTATGAGGTGCAAAATGAGAAGTTGTTAAAGTGGCCACCCAGGATGAAAGCAGACCCGACAAAAAGGGATCCTACGAAGTATTGTGACTTCCACAAAGACCATGGTCATCACACCGATGACTGTATCTAATTGAAAAGGAAAATAGAATTTCTAATCAGGCGAAGGCAGCTGCGACGCTATATAGCCAATGATAATCAAAATTGAGTTCTCCCACCCCCACCCCCTTAGCGTTAAGCACCAGAGCCACACCAACAACATATGGGGGAGATCAGAGTGATATCTGGAGGATTTACCGGAGGAGGAGGATCCAGCTCTGCCAGAAAGGCCCACTTGTGAAAAATCAGAGCCACAAAAGCTCCCGAAGTATATACTGTGTCTAAATCTCCACACTTAGACACAGTTATCACTTTCTCAGATTCAGATCTGGAGGGCTGCCAACATCCCCACGATGACCTATTGGTGGTAAGAGTTGTAGTGGCCAACAGGACTATCCATCGTGTTTTGATTGACAATGGCAGCTCGACAGACATCACTTTTGCTTCTGCTTTCGACAAAATAGATATAGGAAGGAAAAAACTTGAACTAGTAAGTGCGCACCTATTAGGATTCTCAGGAGAAAGGGTGCTGCCCCTGGGGTCAATTCAACTCATCTTGACCTTAGGTGACCCACCCTGTCAGACTACTATAGCTGTGAAATTCGTAGTGGTTGACGCACCTTCAGCATACAATATGCTCCTTGGAAACCCTCGCTCAATTCTATAAGGGCTATTCCCTCTGCATATCACCTTGTAGTGAAGTTTCCAATAGAAAACAGAGTTGGAGTGGTCCGAGGAGACCAGCGCGTAATACGAGAATGCTACATGGCATCTATGAGAAATAAGGAGGTTGAGAGCATCCAAGCGGATAAGCTTAACATGAGGGATGTACTCTAGACCAGGCCAACACCATCAGAAGAGCTGAAACCTATTCAAATCGATGAGGGGCCAGAGCATCTTGTTTATGTTAGATCCAAGCTGAGCAAGGAGATCAATGATCTCCTCATCCAATTCCTGAAAAGGAATAAGGAAGTTTTTGCATGGAAGCAAGAGGACATGAAAGGGATTGATCCCTCTGTCATCACTCACAAGCTCAGCGTGAATCCAGCCCATAAGCCCATTAAGCAGAAGAAAAGGAGCTTCACCCCGAAGTGTCAAAAAGCCATTAACGACGAGGTCAGCAAGCTCTTTCACGCAAAAGTCATTCGAGAAGTGGATTACTCAGTCTGGCTAACTAATGTAGTCCTAGTCAAGAAGACAAACGACAAATGACGTCTTTTCATTGACTTTACAGACTTTAACCGTGCTTGCCCGAAAGATAGTTTTCTT